GCACGAAGTTACAAGTCATCGTGACCGAGGGTTTGAACGTACTAGCGTTATTCAGACTGCTAAATCATGAAAGATATTATGCTCTCTCACTCCTAGAAACTACAACTAAAGTCTGCTCAGCATAGTTACAGTATAAAACACAGATAGGCTCTGTGAAACACAAATGTACCTGAGCAGGTGTCTGCAGCAGGGATAGACTAGCCTCTGTAGCAGACGGGTGTATTCGCAAAACGAGAGTAGCCAACCATTATATATGAAAATACCTAAACTGATATTAGCGCACGTACATAATCTTGTAGGCACGTATATATATACGGGTATTTACTTACGCATATCTATCTATCTATCTATCTATCTATCTATCTATCTATCTATCTATCTATGCATATATCATCGTACATATATTTACAAACAGATAGCTATATGATATGAATATAAACTCATGTTTACGTATAGAGAAACATGTAGACAATATAGGAGATTCTTTTTGAGAAGAGGCCGTCATCAAAGACGCATCAATCAATGTACCCAGTTCCTACCCGCTTCCCACCCGTCCATTTTTATCGAGCAAAACTGGTGGCCGCTGTAAGTTGATCTCAACAGAGAAGAACCCTAAAATGTCATCGTCCGTGTCCAATTTTTATTTTTCTAAAGGCACATGAAGGGCGGGTGATATGTCTAGATTGAGGACAAAATATAATAAACGCAAGTAGGTGACGCGGATTGACGGTGGGTGGGAGGAATTGGGCTCGGGTTTCTGTTTTTTGGCTCGGCTTCTACAGTTATATTGGAAAGACTGCCAAAGAAATGAATCTTTTATTGCTGCTCTCCTTAATTCGATCAAGAAAAACGTTGACAAATGCTAGCGTGCAGCAGCGCTCATTTTACGCAGGGCCCACAGATAAAAGCTGTCGCTCAAGCATTTTGTTCCAGAACTAACATGTTCTAAAGAAGGACGCTGTCACTAAAATGGACTGAATACGCGAGCAGCGACGGAGTTTAGAGAAAATGGAAATATATAGAGGTCGCTTATACTTAACAACAGAAAGAGACAGTTGAAATTTTCAAGTCACATAATGAGGAAAGAGGGCTTGGAAAATATGATACTCACAGGACAGATTGAAGCCAAGAGACAGAGGAAAACAACGCATAACTTAGCTATAGAGCTTGTGTAAAGGGTTGGAGATATAGCAAAAAGACAAACATTACTAAAGGCTACAAAGAAGTTGTGGAGAGCCATGTTCGGCGCATAGAATAAAATTTTTAGGATAAAGCTTTTGTATTTAGGTTCTGTGTAAAATGAACGCTGCCGCACACTGACAATTTTCGACCTATTTTAAACGTTATTGTTTTTCTTCATTCAATATTGTGTGTATGTTTGTTTTCATCTGTATTTTTTGTGTGTGCATGTGTGTTGGTGCACGTAGGGACTTCTGTCCAGTTTGATTATGGATTGAACTGTGACACGAATAATAAATAAATAAATCCACTTTGCTGGCACTGCTCTTCTTCAGCTTTCCTACTCTTCCTCCTACTTCTCCTCCCGCTTTTCCCCGCCCCCTTCTTCCTTTCCTCTTCCTTCTTACATCTTACCTTAATCCCATTTTCCTATTTCCAGTTTCCTCCTACTTTCCTTCTGGCTCTTCTAATCCCCCCCTCTTTCTCCTTCCCCTGCTTTCATTCTTCTTACTCCTTTTTTTCATCTCACCTTTTAGACATTCCTTCTGCCACCTCTTGATTTCGTCTCCTTTTCTTCATTCCCCTTTTCTCCTCCATTCCTCTTCCTCTTGAGTTTTGTCTAATCATTCCTTTTTCTCGTCCATCTTTCTCATCCCTTCCTCCACTTGTTTTTGTCGTCTTTTCCTCATTCCCCTTTTTTACTCATTCCCCCTTTTTTCATTAGTTTCTCCACCTCTTGTATTCCTCTTTCTCTTCTTTTGACAGAGTAATTTTATTCTTCGTTTCTTTATTTTTAACTGCATACATTGTTGTCTACTTTTTAACCAATTCTTTTGTTTCTATTCTTTCGTTTCTTCTTCTTCTTCTTCTTCTTCTTCTTCTTCTTCTTCTTCTTCTTCTATTTTCCTCCTTTTATTTTCCTCATTCTTCTTTGTTTTTTTCTTCTTTTTTCTTCTTCTTTTCCTTGTTCTCATTCACCTTTTCCGTATTCTTCTTCTTTTCTTCTTCTATTTGTTTTTCTTCTTTTCCTTCTTCTTTTCTTTCCTTTCCTTTCCTTCTGCTTTGTCTTCTTTTTTATTCTTCCGTTTCTTTTTTCTTTTCCTTCTTCTTCTTCTCCTTCATCTTTTCTTTTTTCTAATTCTTCCTTTTCTACATCTTTTTCTTCTTTTCTTCTTCAACATAATAAAGACTCAAACAATTATTCTAGCAATTATGATTTTAAACCTGCTTCAGATCAATCTACGAATGTATTTGTCTCAAATTTGGCATTTCAAAATGGCAGAAAATTTAACGAAGTCATAATCCAAATTAGGTTTTCCGGGTTTTTAATATAATTTCTCAATGACATAAAAAAAGTAGGCGATTATAACTCTCTTTATTATTAGTGAACTGTCCTAGCTTTTGGGGAAATATAGTGTAGTGGTTTCTCGTTGCTTTCTCCGCGGTTTTAAATTCAGTGTTGTCCATTTCTCTAGACTAGGTGCCACTGACGGCTAGAGAACCCAGTTTATATGCGCTACTTAACACTTTGCTAATGGAAAAAAAGAGATGGGTTCATGCCTTTTCCAAAGGTAATAATGCAAAAGTGAAACCAACAGACTAGACCGAAATTTGAACTCGGTTCATCAATTGCTGCACCGACAACCGCTATGTTACCAGCACAATAGTGGTTTGATACATGTTTTAAAATATTTGTTACCTTTATATGAATCTTCTGAAGTAACAGTTTCATGATAACTTTGTGTCTAACAAATAATAAACGCTAATTTGGTTTTGCTAACCAGACGCTTCCACTGTAGCTAAATGGTATAGCACGTCAAGCTATATAACGCTTCGGCGTAGAATACAGGTTCGATTCATGTCGGAGAACACATATTTTGTATGAAATTTCTCGGATATTCAGGTTGGTAAATGTTAATACTATTTATTATAAACAGAGCATTTACTTAAATATTCGTATCTATGAAAAGAACGTATAAATAGAAAATATATTAAAATAATTTTTGAACTTAGTCCATTTCATAATATATCAAATCATTTGTTTACGTTAGCATACGCTGCGAGCAGATATGAGCATTTGTTTAAAAAACAGTAATTTGGCTTTGCTAACCAGACGCTTCTTCTGTAACTAAATTGTATAGCACGTCAGGCTAAATGACGGTTCTGTGTAGGGAAACAGGTTCGATTCATTTCAGAGGACACATATTTTTGTACTTACCATTTCATATTATATTATATATATATATATATATATATATATATATATATATATATATATATATATATATATATATATATATATATATATATATATATAGTGCGATGGACAAATTACGTAAAAATGAAAATAAAACTGACATTTCATTTTAACAGATATATTTACCAAAATTACACAAAAATTAAGTTGTTGGTGAATGCTCTCATAACACTTGCCTTCAGTTCATCACGATGTTACAAAGCTCAACTGGGCCCCTGAAATGTTCGGCGCGAATGCTAAGCAGTACAACATACCATTAGCAAATTTTTGGCGGACTAAAGTGAGTCATGGTGATCTTTTTCTCACAGACCGTGCCCTACCTGCCCATACTATACTGTGCAGTCGACAAAATCAAAAACAAATAACGCGCGAAATTATGACGACAATTTTACACATTAATATATATATATATATATATATATATATATATATATATATATATATATATATATATATATAAATAAATCTAAAATATAATATAAAATATAAGATGGTATGTTGTAAAAGGATGGTGTAAACAGCTACGCTTAAAAAGGTGCAATAAAAAAAGGGCTCAATACAAAATTCCCCAAAAAGTTGATTTGTAGAGCAAAATGTAATCAGAAACGCGAGAATGATGGTGAAATCAACTAAAATCTTTCATTCTATCTGCCTGATGATACCTAATGGTCGTAGGTAGCAAGGTAGCTTGAGTTTTGTGTTCCTGATTATATATATATATATATATATATATATATATATATATATATATATATATATATGTGTGTGTATATATATATATATATATATATATATATATATATATATATATATATATATAGTGAGATAGAAAGAGAGAGAGAATGACAAAAGAAAATTATTTCCGTGCACGATGATTTATTGCTGAAACAATATTGCATGCTGAAAAATTGAAAGTAATAGATATTTTTTTTATTGTAGATGAAATGGCTTGCCTTCGTTTAAAATCAAAACTTTCCTTCTTATATGTGAATATTCTAACAACCTCAACGTAGCTAATCCTGTCCCTTTCCACTAATCTCTATCTCAGAAGTGTGTATCAGGCTCCTTCGTGTTTTTAATGCCAAATTTCTATTTGCTAATTCAAATAATACTGTTTTTCAAAGCTGGCGACTCGACAAACCAGCGCGAAATACACGATCAGTAAAAACAAAAAAGAAAAGAAAAATCCATTAGCCTTGATATCTACCCTCCACTCTCTTACCGACTCACCAACCTTTAACAAGCTTTTTTTTTCCGGTAATTTTTTGCTAATTGGCATTCATAGGAGAGTACTACGAGACGAATCGCCACATCCCAGTCTGACCCAATCCACTCCGACCGGATTTGGGTCCCTCTTTAACATTCTCATCCCGTTCAAATAAATGTTCAAAGTGACTTAATTTTGCGGTCGTCAAATTTACATTGTAAAGGGTCAATCCGCCTTTCTGGCAAATAGTGGCTGTGTACATCGAACAATGTTTAATGAATGTTTTAAATAATGTATGGACTGCCTATTGGTTCTATGGTTATTAGTTATAGCGAAAGCCAAATCTTGGCGGGCTAACGGCCGTATGACGATGAAACAGCAGTTCTCGTACGATCACCGAAATTAAGCAACGTCGAGCCTGGTCACTACCTAGATGAGTGACCGCTTGGGAATACCAGGCTCGGAATTGGAAATCACAGAACCGAGTTCCAATTCCGGTCGGGTTCGTTATATTTACTTACGCACATGTACTCTTCATCTCTTCTCTCCCCCGTCTATGGGTTAATTAGTATCCATAAATTATTATTATCTCCAAAAAATACTTACAATAAAAGAAAAAGTTTTCTTGCTATGAATAACCGACAAAAGGGTGGTAAGCCGTCAAAAAGGAACCAATCAGTTACAAGTTAGCGAGTAGACTCTAATAGAAGGGAACTGACGCCCAGGATATCTAAATTGTACAATTATTCCCATTTGAACAAGCTGAAACTAGTCGGGCACAAAATCATGAATATAAGGAAACGAAAAGCTACGTTCTAGCTTTTTTTTTGGACTCTCTGCTGGAAAGGTATTAGTTTACCCTTTTTCTATAAACTGTGTCTGCATTACTTTTGGAATTGCGTTCCTGATGAAAACAAATTCGTGTGTGTTTCTTTTGCATTGTCACAAACCATAGTTTGTTATTACTCTATGAATTATTTACACTATTTATTTTCGGACTACTGTCCTCATCTTTGTTGTTGTTACCATAACGTGCCTTCCAGGCTTCCACATACCGATCTGGGTAAACCTACAGGGAATTCTGAACCCTTTGTTTAATCTACGACTCTTCTCGTACCACTGCTCATTGTCTAGTCCTTATTTTATTTAGTACTGTTCAGTTATTGCTCGCCCGTTCCAACTGAGTGTAAGTACACACTGCCCAACTTAGGGTTTGAACTTACAGCCACTATGTAAGCAAATTCACAAGCCATTACTTTTATCCACTAGGCCATTGCTGTAGTAAATTTAGAGCCTTCAACTTAACCTGACTGCTATTGCTAGCTGTTATGCTTTGACTGCTGCTTATGTTTTGATTACTGTTGCTGCGGTTGAAGAGTTGCTGCTGTCAATTGTCGGCTATTACTGTATATGCCGAGATGAACGAAAAGCTTATATTACCGGTAGGAAGCTGCCCCCTTGTTATTATCAATATTCAAGACGCCCCCCCCCAAAGAAAACAAAAAAAAAACTATTTATATATTATGATATTAACTGGATATACGATATTTATTAGATATGAATGATAATTGTAGACTTATATGCCTGAGGTTCGTGAATGCTTGTATCTCGTGACAGGGGTTCGTGAGTTTTTTTTTGTGCTGTTGGGGTTCCACTGACTCCCGTCATTAGACCCGGCTATGGTGGACGAACCTGTTTAGTCGTAGACTACTCGACCATTCATTTTTTGAATTCACAGTTGTCCTTCTAGATCGGTTTCCACCTAGGGCTATAGGACACAGTCTGTCCTGTTATTTACCCATAGCTGGGGAGAGAAGTGATGGATTCATACCTTTACCAAGGGTATTTGCATGTAAGTGACTAATGAACTCGGCTGGAATTCAAACATAGCACTCCAATTTCTCATTCCGAGCAGCTATCCATTACGCACCCCCCAACATCCATTCTGAACATGCATTAAAAAAAAATAAATATGCATCGGCTACTATTACAGTTTTCCTATTGTCTTTTACATTTATAAATATGTATTTACATATATATTTATATCTATACAGCTAATGAATTACAAAGACAAAACTGAAATAAAATTGGCTAGAGAGAGAGAAAGAGAGAAAATGATGAAGAGAGGGAGAGAGAGACAACGATGGAAAAAGAAAGAGGGACAATGGTCAAAAAAGTGAGTGAGAGAGACAATGATGAAAAGAGAGAGAGACAATGATGAAAAGAGAGAGAGACAATGATGAAAAGAGAGAAAGAGACAATGATGAAAAGAGAGAGAGACAATGATGAAAAGAGAGAGAGACAATGATGAAAAGAGAGAAAGAGACAATGATGAAAAGAGAGAGAGAGACAATGGTGAATAAAGAGAGTGAGAGAGACAATGGTGAAAAGAGACAGAGAGAGTCAATGATGAAAAGTGAGAAAGAAACAATGATGAAAAAGAGAGAGATATAATGATGAAAAGAGAGAGAGAGAGAGAGAGAGAGAGAGAGAGAGAGAGTGAGAGACAATGATGAAAAAAGAGAGAAAGAGACAGTGATGAAAATGAACCCGGATGTAATTCGAACACGATTGTCTTAGCATACGGATAATACGGCAGGGGGGTCTGTTACTATTGCCCCAGTATTTATGTAGAAAGTAATGCTTCCTATTTACTAAGACGTCCTCTTTCTCTTATCTGTCAATTCAAGTTACGAATTTACTACTTAGATGACTGATAATGGGAAAACACTTTTGGTGCATTGCCTTCGCGTGTTTCTTTCCTCGTTGAATTAGCGCAAAATTAATATTAACAATCTTGAACAGATTTGAACTTTACTGACAGGCTTCAATTTCTGACTCACTAATAACTAGAACAATTACATTCTTTTTGCGCGTGCGTTTGTAATAATGAATAACCAGTTGATATAGAACTCCAACGCAAGTCAAAAAAAGTATCATGTGCCGTTTTTTTGTTTTTTTTTTTTAATTTTTTATGGAACTCAAGCCTGTAGCCAAGTTGTCTCCTTTGGATCAAGGTTAATAATGGCGCTGTGATAAATGACTCTAATCTTTATTACTAAATGACTTTGGACTGACCGTTGTAAGCTAGAAGTAGGCAGCTGTCGTGAAAAACGCTTGGAACGATAATGACCCTTTCTGTATATTACAAACCAATATTACACAAGGTATATGTAAGTGTAAATGATACAGCCACTCGTATCCGAGGATGTCAGCTTACTCGGACGGCTACCTAGTCTCTATTGCAGACTCCTGCTCAGGCGCGTGTTTGTTCAACACCCACAGAGCCCACATGTTGTTTATACTGCAACTATGCAACTTAGTTACAGTTTCTGGGAGAGAGCGCGTTATCTAGCATGATCAACAAGGCTTAGCATGCTCAAGGCCTCTTGTGATTTTGTGCTATCACAACCACCGACGGCCCTCAAGGGTTCCGTCTACCCAATTTCACTCACTAGGCTTGGTATGCTTTTCAGGCACTTTCCAAAGGGTCCGCGCACTTCTCCAGACCATGAAGTCACCTTCCATGGTGAGATTTGAACCCGAGTCTCATGGTCAGAAAGCGAACGTTCTAACCACTCGGTTACAGAAGGTATATAATAGTAGGTATTCTGTTGATAACCCTTAATTCTACACTACTGACAATTGTCACTGAACAATATAGATTACTCAAAACGTTGCCAAACGAATTTTGGTTCTAAAATTGAAAAATTGTTTTTTTTTACTCAATCCTTCCCTCCTCGCAGAAATATTTCGCTGGCTTTTGCCGAAAGTGACATGCGGGGCAGGATTTGTGATGAAATATCGATGAGAAAACGACGATAATATTGACAGAATATTTGTCCCATTTTTTTTCTCTTGTCACCGTAGCGTGACACTTGGAATTACGAATACAGATTGGAGTCCATGATCGCTTTAGGTGCTTGCTGTTGTTACTGATCTATCTTCAGTAGAGACATTATGCACTATAGATTTTTGTTTAGCTAGGTCCTTATTTCTTTTCATGTTTTCTTCTTTGTCAGACTTGGGGTTGGTAGGTTTTTTGCACTTTGCCTTTACCGATTACTTGTCTTAAACAGTTTGAAAAATCTGTGAATTTTAAAATTAAAATTCGTAAGTGAAAATGGTCATTAACTTAAGGTATCTTAATTCCAATTGTATAGAAAATTTGCTCGGTTTAATGAAAATAAACATTGAGCGCTCTTTTGTGAGCCATTTTGAACATATTTCAAATTCTATGTTGTGTTAATAGGACTCGTCTCGTTTGCACCAACAGATTACTACCTATATATATATATATATATATATATATATATATATATATATATATATATATATATAACAGGTGTAATATTGAGGAATCGAGACTTTTAGCATACAGTCTCAGTTACGCTGGACTGGTCATGTCTTGAGAATGTCTGATGACAGGATACCCAAGATCCTAATGTACAGCCAGTTAGATCAGGGCTACAGGAAGGTAGGACGCCCATGGCTAAGATACAAAGACAAGCTGAAAAGCAACTTGTCAGCAGTTAATATACCACATGACACCCTTAGGCGCTTAGCTTTGGAGCGGGTAGAATGGAGATCAACATGTTTTAGTGGACTCACCAATTTTCTGCTTGTCTGAATCATCTTCAAGAAGCGAGAGCAAGATCTAAAAGGTCAGTCAATCTAACAGTGATCTCATCTCACAATTCTCACACTTGCTCTATATGTGGCCACCTTTGTAAATCACTAGCGGGTCTTAAATGCTACTTAAGATTATCGCATAAACTTTCATAACTGAATCAATAAGCTGGCAGATCCTCATACGTCGAAACCGACGGGAGAGTCCATTATTATTATTATTATTATTATTATTATTATTATCTATCTATCTATCTATCTATCTATATATATATATATATATATATATATATATATATATATATATATATATATATATATATATATATATATATATATATATATATATATATATATATATATATGGGGGGGTAATAATCCGTTGGTATATAATCCCAGTGCATCCTAATAATATAAAATATTAAAACTGATCCACAAAAAGAGCTCAATGTATTTATTATAACATAGCATATATTACACAGGCTAAAAATTCAAGATTACCTCATTCGAATAGCTATTTCGACCCACATAATTTACTTTTAGGCCTTGTCAACACTGAGGTGGGAAAAATAAAATAGGAGCATAAAAAAAAAGGAAAAAGAAAGAGATAGAAGAATAAAAAGGAAGTTGCAATGAGAATCTGGACATAAAATTAAATAAACTGCCAATATGTATATATAGTTCCCAAGCTATTACCAAATTCCACAAGATATTCTCCGAATTGTAACATACAATAATTAATGACAAAATAAATAATAAAACTCAGTATCATCCAACCCACCTTTTTGCAAAAAATTATCATCGTATGATTTGTATTTGCGAAGATATTT